TACAGCACGAACAAACAGTTATTTCAAAATAATTGCAAATTGTCAAAGAACACATTCTCGCCAAAAATATTATTTACACAAAAAGATGTTTTGTGTTTATGTACTTTTAGACGACGCTTAGCAGTAAGATTTACTGACACTGATGCAATAACGGGCGAATTGCATATTTATGGTATACTGCCATCTGAAAACTAATACTTTAATATACACACACAAATGTACTAAGACGATGAAATGACGAGTTTTTATTAGCGATTATAAAAGTATTCAATAATTATATCGACCAGTTTTTAAAAAAAATTTGGCAAATTTACATAGTCAAATTAGCACCAAATCATACCTTTTCCCTTGAATATTTTGTCATAATACTGAGTCTGACAAAAATCATCTTGAAGTGTGTATATAGTACTTCCAACCTTAATTGTTATTGTTTGTCGGTAACTTGACTGATCGGTGAATGATTGGTGATCGATGACCCATAGAATCCGTCTGATACGTCAAAAATAAGCTATGTGAGAGTTACCGTGACAACGGTCAGCAATCGATTAGTAAATTAATTATATGCACGGATCGGACGGATACGTGTATACATAAAATACTTGTGTAAAATCAACTCCACAGTATTTACATGCTATTAACACGGACCTCTACATAAGGACGGTGTACATCCTAAATCAAATTTATCTAGGGTTTGGCTGCGAAAATTTAGCACTCAAATAATATAAAATCTGACTGCTGGTAGACTTATCTAATCGTTCACAGGGCAACTGTGGGATTTTCCACTACGACGCTGAAAAAGAACTATTTTGTAAATATCCTGGGTCATTCTTACATATATATTAACAGGGCGACTGTGGTACTTTCCACTACGTCCCTGCACTACTAATATATTGACTAAATCAGGTATCACTATGTCACGTTATATAACTGAACAGACAAACAGCTCTAGATAAAAAGCATGACAACTGTCACCGTGAACATATCAAATATGAAATGAAAACCGGCAAAAATGTTGTGCTAATATATAGTACGGCGGCATATGAGCTAGCAAAAAACAGTTAATTTTAGACATTTTATAATATGGAATTTAGTGACCCCAATATTATCTAAGCACAAACTGTCATAGACAATTCAAACTCAATAATAGATCATTGCTACAAAATCTTCAATCGAAAAAACAATGGCTATCCTGGTAACCAGTTAAAGTTAACTGTAAATTGCTACAATTCCACCAACACAATGACCGTACATGGAAATCGTGTAGATTTGTTTGTCAATGATATACTAAAAGAACTATGCAATATCCCTAAATAAAATCTCAAAACATTAGATGTCATTAATCAAAACATTTCAACACGTTTGAGGTGTAATACCACCATTTATTTTCCCCTATTAGTCTTTGTTAAATTTGCACTTTTCAAAAAATTGTGCAGAATGTATCTTTGTTTCAAATAAAGAAATACTTGGCATGAGTAAAGTTTTATCCTGTCCAGTACTATATACAAAATTTCACATAACATTTCATTGCATATAAGAAAATAATCCTCACTGGAAGTTGACCAATCAAATTTTCACCCCTTTTTTTTCTATGTACAAGCTTTAGTAACCATGTAACCTCAAGTTTCCAAAATATTCTATAGAAACACCAAATAAAAAAATAATGGTGCTTTGAAACACCCAAGATATATGTTTATGACTCGGATTTTTTTTACTGCAATGAAATGTAGGATAAATTTCCTACAACTGTCAAATTCAAGGGAATATTTTTATTAGAACCTTTTTCGTATGCAACCGGATGTGACGTACTATGATTTGGTGTCATTACACTTTGAGCAACAAAAACTCAAAAGAGAATATTGTTTCAATAACAAGAACATGTGAACAACTAACTGTAAAAGATAATGACTCGCACATGCTGCAGTCAGAAGCAACACTGCCAAAATGTAGGCATCTATTAGAATACAATGATAACAACACAAACTGTTTAATAGACACAAATACAACGTTAAACAAAAACAGTAACAATTCATGCATATGTCCTATATGTGAAGCATAGGCAACTGTTGAGTGTATAGCATGTGACTCTTGTGATCAATTGTTCCATTTCAAATGTGGCAATATACTTCCATCAGCCATTGACAATATATACAAAGAAATTTGTTTCCACTGAACACAGTGTAATGAACAATTAATATTTGACTATATTGACATATTAAATAATAGCCTTCATGAAACTTCACCAATGTATGTAGACAGCAATGTGCCAAACTATTCTATACAAGACTATGATAGGAAATTAGATTCACTTAATGAACTAAGACATACAACTAGTCAGATACAACAAAATTCTGACCCTGAGGTATTGATACAAGAGTTACCTTCCAAGCCAGTCACAGCGCCTACAATATCACATGATAGACATTTAAGGGAACCAATGTTATCAACTTATATTGAAAGTCCTACAACTGGTATTACAAACAAACCAACACATTATGTAACATCAAATAAAAAACAGCCAAAATAAGAAGAATGTAAGGGAAAATCAATCAAAAATAGAGGAAAGAAATATATCAAACTCACAGACAGCACGAATTTTTAGTCTTAAAAACGAAAATATACAACTTAAAAGAGTGATTAAAACTAAACAAAACACATCACCAATTATCAACAACAATACAGAAGCTCCAAACACAATATATGGAAACAACTCTAGTACGCACAATTGCCAAAACAATATACCATATCAGCAATATAGTAACTGTAGTACTTGTCACAACCACACGTGCAATGCTAGACAACAATCTTGCAACCACCAACAAGATCTAATGGAACAACGTATACGCTCTCTTGAAAATCATTTAAGTCTTAGCACAGCTTTAAGCCTATATATTGCACAATAATTGAGAATAGCAAACAATCAGCCGACCCATGTTCCTCTTGCACAACCTCCACTATTTCATGGACAATATGTCCATCTTAATGAAATGGGATACGCTACACATTTTCCTAACAATTTCTATGGAGGACATATGCACCAACAAGGTATTCCACAAGATGGCTATCCAATGCAAAACAACCCTTACCATCTAAATCATGGAGGAATGCTACCTTTTGGAACATTGCCAAATCTTGGTATAAATGTACCAAGACATCATACAGTTCTACAAATTCCAACAACATACAATCCGCCTAGATATCACTATGAACAACAACGTTCACAACATTGCGGTCAACCTCGTCCATAAGGCACACTAGTCATCCTATGAACAACAGTGCCAGTAGCACAAATATAAATATAGCAGGGACCACTGAATAACACAATGATGGTAGTACACTCCAACCAACATGAGCAATTACAAACTACCCCTATCAATCACACAATTAGTACAAATAAGCCAAACATAGAGCATTGTACCCAAATTGGTGAATTTGAAGGAATAGACCACATTTCACATAATAAACCTGAAGGCCCGGATATACAAGAAGAGCAAGTCATAATTGCACAAATTCAAAATCCTCCTTTTCGGCAAATCGGCCTCAGGTACAAACCACCAGTCAATACAACCCAAAACGAAGAAATGATGGAGTCGGGGAAGATTTACAGCCAATGTCCTGGAGTGGGAATTTTAAGAAATTAAATGAGAGATATGAAAGTATTGTAGCAGTCACTCTTTCCTCAAACTACAATTTATGCATAATCAATGCAGATTTACCAAAAACGATAAAAACTCGTCATATGAATATTCTGAATATCTAGATACAGTCTATGATATAATACAAAAATACCAGGATGTCTATAAAATAATCTTCTGCGGGGATCTCAATAGGACCTTATTACAAGCAAGATCGAACAAGCATGATAAACTAATGAAAACAAATTGTACAAGAAATAGGCCGTTAAACGGCAGGAAGTTATGAAACAAAAATGACTTTCTTCCATCATTCTGGTCAATCATCCTCCTAAATCGACTACATTCTACTTCGAAATTTATCAATATACCAAAAATACACAATTTGGAACCGTTTAGCTACAAATAGCTCAGCTAATTTTGCCAGTAGAATAAAAAAACTACTGTAAAAAAAAAAGTGGAGCAAAGAGAAAATCATCGGAAGAAATTTCATACAAAAATCTACTCTGGGATGAAATAGCAAGGAGCCTGTTGTTCAGTGGTTGTCATTTGTTGGTGTGGTTCATAAGTGTTTCTCGTTTCTCGTTTTTTTTTTATAGATTAGCACGTTGGTTTTCCTGTTTGAATTGTTTTACACTAGTCTTTTTTTGGGGCCCTTGATAGCTTGTTGTTCGGTGTGAGCCAAGGCTCCATGTTGAAAGCCGTACTTTGACCTATAATTGTTTCCTTTATGCACATTGTGACTTGGATGGATAGTTGTCTCATTAGCACTCATACCACATCTTGACTTCTTATTTAACTCAAAGTTATCCGAATGAACCCTTAAAATTCTATATGACGAATCAACTTCAGACTAACTTCATCTATTACAACTGAATTAATCAAAGCAACAAAATTAACTGTTCCATCAAAACCAATTAAGTTACAAGGGCCAAAAAAGGAAAGCAACATCAACAATGATCGAAAACATCTGAAATCGTGTAAATTACTCTACTCCCATTGGAAAAATCAGGGAAGGCCACAAAACCATCCATCACATTCTGAATTGAGAAAAGCCAAGAAACTTCTAAGATATTCACAAAGAATATAACAAGGCATTGCGAGAAAAAACCTCTACCAACAGATCATGGAAAACTCCACAACCAAATTGTTTATAGGTTAATAAACAGAAACCGCAAATCAAGAAATAATACTACAACTTGTTAAGAAATAGATGGGGAAAAGGAATACTCTCATTCAAACCAAAGAAAATTATTTGCCCAATATTATGAAGACTTGGGTAGCAAAAAAACTCTGAATATGACAACTCTTACTCAGAACTTTGCAAAACACGCCAAAACCTGATTGAGACATTCTACAAAGAAAATCCAGTTACATCTGACCCATATACTGAAAAAGAAATTCAAAACTCAATTCAAAATTTAAATATAGGGAAATCACCAGACGAATACGGGTTCACAGCCGAACATCTAAAGTATGCAAAAATAGTATTAACACCAGTATTAACAACTTTTTGTAATAAAATCAAGGAGACCAACTTAATCCCAAGAGCCTATAAAATGGGAATTCCAAATCCAGTTATATAGAGTGGGAAAAACCCTCTAGATGTAAAGAGCTACAGAGGAATTGTTGTTACTCCCATTATTGGAAAAGTACATGCACTATGCATACTCAAGAAGCTTCAACTACACCCGGGTCAAGATCTATAATTTGGTTTCACAGAAGGATTATGTCCTATCATTGCAAGTTTACTCATAACAGAAGCAAAATGTGAAAAACTTCAAAAGAAAATATCATTATTCATAACAACAGTAGATGTACAATCAGCTTTAGATGTAGTCAAACATATCATACTAATGGACAAATTACTACCTCCAGATCTCTTACAATTAATCTAGGGATTATATACATATCTAGAATCAAAAGTGAAATGGAAGGGGAAATTAGTAACACCTTTAATATCAGACACGGTGTAAGACAAGGAGGCATTCTTTCTGCCAACCTCTATAACCTGTACGTCCAAAACCTACTAGAAGAACTCAAAAACAACTCTATTGGCTTGCACCTAGGTAATATATAAAAAGGCGCACCTTTTTGTGCAGATGACATTGCCCTATATAGCTTGGACACATCTGAAAAGCAATTAATGCTAGACATTATAGGTAGATATGCAGATCAACATCCATATATCATCCATCCTACTAAAACCAAAATAGTACAGTGCAGCTCAGGCCTTCATGGGACAAACGGGGTTGACCCAATCACAGGCTATAACATCTACTATACATATATTCTTCCGCGGCTTCTATATGGCTTAGAAATACTACCACTGGCTAAAAAGTCAAATTGAAATACTCGAAAAGTTTCACAAAAATACCTTGAGGCATATTCAATCACTGCTTCAAAGAACAGCAAATCAGGAATATATTTATTTACTACGAGCAATTCCAATTGAAGGAGAACTACAAAAGCGTCATTATCTATGCTAGAATGTCTATTATCGACCGCCCCCAAGGGTGACTGGGGAATAGAAGTATGGTCACCATTTGTCTTCCTCCGACCGGTCGTAAATCCTTTGCTAAAATTGGGCGTCCGTTTGGCTGTGCGGGATGTACAAATTTGCAACAACGTCCGGTCAGAATGGGGACGTTAAATCCGATGCCTCGTGTAAAGAGAGTGCCACGCTCTTCGCACGTTAAGAACCCTTGCAACAACTCTTTGAAGGGTCCGTAGGTGACCTGTTGCAAGGCTAAATTTCTGTCCCTATCCAATATACCCTCATTTCCCGTGGCAGTCTAAATTTCTCCGACCTTAATCCCGGAAGCCCCTATTACAGAACCTACCTATTATATTTATTGTTAACTTGTTCTAGTCCTGAATATGCAAGAAATATTAGCCACTGCACTTTACGCAACCAACAATCAATCAATCTATTATCGACCAAAAAAACAAACTATTCAAGATCTCTTACAACGCCAACCATCAATCAATTTTGACAATCCAAAAAAGTTTTTTTCTGTGGTGCAATGGACACACTTCAAAAATACGGTCTTCTAAGCATATGGGAACTTCAAAACAATTTGCCTATAAAATCTAAATGGAAAAAAATAGTAAACTGTAACATGTCAAACTACTGGAATAACGCTCTCCGAATTGGCACAGTCCAAAAGACATCACTTATATATTTAGCTGTAAAGAGTATTAAAATTGGAAAGCCACACATCTCCTACACTACATTGCAACCTGCAATTGTAGATGTTCGGAAAGGTATTATCAAAAGTAGGATGATGACAAGAACACATACCCTACAAGCTGATCGACATAAATTTAGTAGATATGAAATTGCTCCAACATGTCAATTGTGTAATCAAGAACCAGAAGGCCTTCCGCATATGCTTACTTACTTCTCAGCGTTAATTGAGACCAGAAAAGAAAGTTTTACGCCAATCAAAATGTAAATTGCCATTGTATCGGAGAAAGGAAATAGAACAAGACCTTTATAGATAGACATAAAATCACAGTTCTTATTGTAGACTGTACAAACTTCACTCAGGTACTCAGTGAAAGCAGGCTCAAAATAGAAGAACTGGAACAGTTAACAGCAAATATGTGCTACAAGATGGATAATTCAAGATTAAATTTGCTAAGTGTGTAATGGCTGTTGACAATTGTAACTTGTCGTCGGAAAGTTATGTTTATTTTAGACTGTATATGTGTGTGCATAGTTTAAAGACTTTTTACCCATATTACCCTCAAAAGAGGAAGCTCATACGAAGAAAAAAAACACCTTTACTTGTTAATTTGTAATCAACTTGGTCGCAAAAGCACATAAAAAATATACACTGTTCAGGTATCATATGTATTACTTTATTATAGGTTCTCTTATTTTTCTGCCAAATGAGTTACATAATTGCAGAATAATGTAATGCCCAGAATGTTTCTGTATCACTAAAAAGAGATAAAACGTTGTCATTTGAATACGTACCCTATGTAGCAATTATGCATTTGAATGTCTCTAGATGATGAATATAAAAATAATATAACAGTCAAGATACTTAAAGCTTTCATTGGGTTGATAAAGAGAGCAATTATTTTCTTAATTTAAGGGAAATCATGAACCGCCACATTGGAATTTATTACTTTTTATACATCAGGATCGGTTGTATTTTTACAAATAATGATAAATATCAGAGTAAAGATACTAAAATTGTGTTCGTATTGTTTAGATATGCCAATATTTCTTCTTTTTATCCAATATAATGCAATGTTATTTGCAAAATTATAAAATTATCTAACTACACAAAAACCATCATTGGATATATTTATTTTTGTTGGGTTGGTCCCCCAAAAATATGATGAATTTTGAGGGAAAATATACTTTATATTTTGTTTGCATTGTTTTCGAGTCTACAACTTGCATATGTCTTTATTTAATTTGAATTAAATGGTCATTTCATTTAATTTTTCAGAGCATTTTCGGAAAAAAACAGTCGCGATAAACACCGTTTCAGTACTCTTCGGGATTGAAGAAAATAACCTTAATATAAACGGCAATCACAACTCCTTAATAATATTTAAATTTAGTGTTATCTGCACATTTCTCTCATCTTTTAATTTTTAAAACTTTGCTTAATGATCAATGAAAAAATGTCGAGCTTAGGCGCCATTTTAATTAAAAATGAAACGAAACTAAGATTCCGTAATTTGTATGAGTTTAATATGTGACGTAGTAGACTGATCGATGACCGCTGATTGATCGCTATAATAGTAACGCCAAAGGTTGCAAGTACTGTACGTATATTTATGTTCAGAAATATACAAATATTTGAGAAAGCAACACAATGCATGTATTATTATACTGTACCTCTTTATTTGTCTTATACTCGTCAATATGAGTGCATACTACAATGACAGGTGGGTATAAACCATGTCCCGTAGAACTTGTACGTAGACAGTGAATACTGTCAAACCAAAAGTCAATGTATTCTAAAAAAAATAACAAAAATAGCTTAACTTTGTATTCGTCATCTTTCATCTATTGGTTAAATGAGTATACAGTTTGGATACATTCTAACATTTTTTTTCAATTCCGTCAGATTAATGTGTGATCGAAATGCTGTAAATATTTCAATATATTTTTTTATAGTAGAATTCTCAGAATAAGTTCTAGAGTAAAACTATAGGTTGAACTGTCCAAATCTGATCAGGGTAAAACTGTAAGAATCGGTTCTCGGAAAGAACAGTTCTTGACTTCGATTTAGAACAGCTTGGTTTTCCATGTAAGTCAGATTATTAAATCATAAAACATATTACAGTCGTTGATGTATGGTTAAGTTTGTTTTCTTCTCAATGTGTATAACCAACTTTCAATCAATTATAGATTTATTGGTATATAATAATGAAGTGAGGAAATATACTTGTAATGTTTACGTTATTATTATCGAAAATACTAGTAATAATTATCTTTAAAAAGACAATTATACATGTCGAGGAATACTTGTTACAGGCATATTGGGTAGGGTATTGTAATAAATTAAATAGATAACACAAAGGATTAATTCCCATGTCTTCCTGGCTCAAAAATCGCATGTAATGATACAAACTGTTGTTTAGTTTTGTTATGTTAGTTTGACACGCGCTTATATTTCAACAGTTCATAACGCTAAAAACATTATAAAATAGATAAAAAAAAAGTAAAAAAAGTAATCAATCATGAAAAGAAACAACGTATCCCAAAAAGTATAAGGAAGTTAGTGAATAAAGAAAAAATTAGAGATATAAATAAAATGATAATAAAGAAATGAATAAAAATAAATAAATAAATAAATGATAAATGGCGAAAATACATCAATAAATAAATGAAATGGAAATAAAAATGAATAAATACAATAAGAAAATAAATAAATAATAATAATAAGACTAGTCATTGCTAATGCAATAAATAAGATAAGTTAGTCTTTTCCTCTTAAAACTACATGTATGTTTAGGGTTGGTCTTCGTGTTTTATTTGTTTAATGTTGTGTTGTGTTGTTTATACTGGTCATAGTCTTGATAATCATTTAAAGCGCTTTAATTTCATAATCTCATACTCGTTCATGTTTCAGTGTCGAAAGATTTACATGACTGATGGTTTACACAATTAATGATGTGTTATGGTTAGACAACAGTCAATATCAACCCGCTATCAATGGATATAACTTGTTTTCGTGATGTATAGGAGTACCACGACAGGTGTCACATGTGGAGCAGGATCTGCCTACCTTTCCGGAGCACCTGTAATCAACCCTTGTTTTTGATTGGGTTCGTGTTGCTCATTCTTTATTTGTCTATGTCGTCTTATTTTATTTGTTTACCATAGCGTTGTCAGTTTGTATCTTTCCGCCCTTAATTAAAGTAAATGAATTAAATTACTATCTATGTAAATAGATACAGTTGTCCAAGGATGACTGGGGAATAGAAATATGGTCACTAAGGTCTCCTCCGACCGACAGTAAAACTCTTGCAAATTGAGGCGTCCGTTTGGCTGTGCGAGATGTAAAATTACACAGTCATGTCCGGTCGAAATTGAGTTGTTAAAACCGATGTTTCGTGTAAGGAGAGTGCTGCGATCTTTGCACTTTAAGAAGGCCTGTTAGTAGACAAAATTTCTGTCACAAACAAATAAACTCTCACGTTTCTGTGGCAGTCCAAATTTCAACGACATTCATCCCGGACGGACTCCATTTCAAAACCTTCATATTGTATTTATTGGTAATTTGTTCTCGTCCTGAAATATTTGCCCCTGGACGTTTAGCAACAATCAATCAACTAAAACTGTTCCAAGGATATCACACGAATCATGAACATAACTTTAGAATACGGAGGAACCTTAGCACTACACGTTTTAAGAATTAACGTCTAAATATCGCAATTGCTTATTTCATAATTATAGTTATTTATTATTCCAGCGTAGGACTGAAAGGAAAATCAATTCAGTATTGTCCTGTTTTAATCATTTGAATGTGTGAATGACTATTGTTTTCGATTAGTACTGTTTTTTATCAACTTGCCTAAATAGAAATGTTTTATTGGACATTTACGGAAAGTATAGGTACCGACTGTTGACACCGACTCTGACAGGTTAAATGAAGTGGGTCGTCTCAAAATAATAAAAAGTACTAAATAATTAGCTTTTCAAGGTAAAATTTGCAAAAACAGTTAAACAAGATTTTACACAACGATTTATTTAATCAAATAAGGTTTGTCTTCTGTTTAAAAATCCTGCACAAGTCTCAACAATTTGTTTGAATTTTTGTCTTGGGTGCCTCTACAAAGTACCCATCTTTTTAGGTCATCTATGGCATGTTCGGCAAAAATTCAATATTCTACAATGATTCTATTAGATTTTGGACTCTTGTGTTTCTGGTGATCAGGTTTTCTGTTGATTTGCTGTCGCGTAAATACGGGATGCTGATTTGGATAAATTTTATCCATTAAAGGGTCCGGGGGAGTTCGAATAATTGAAAGAATGATCTGAATCGAATCAGGAGGGTGAAGATTAAAAACTGGAAAAATCACAAGAAACGCTTGTTTTCTCACAGGACCCATTGTTATCATGGAAGACTGTTTCTGGTAAAAAGTCATTTTTTTTGTAGTTTAGATAAACGAAACATATTAAATATCTTTGCCATAATTATCTAATCTAAGCATTGTTAAAAAATATTGATATTCTAAATGTGTAAAGCTTTTTGATGGAAAGATTGAAATGACAGAATGCATTTTATATCAAAGATAAGTTTATATACATTTATATATAACTATGGCATTATAGTTGAAAGATAAAAATCATTCAAAATAACGTATTTGGCTTCATATACATGTGCATGAGCTTGACGACATATCCGATTGAAATGTGCTGTTACGAAAACTCTGCATTCAAATTTTGATTCTTATTGTCGGTGGAGCCATAGTATGCTCCGTTTATGGTCTCCTTATGAATCAAGTGCGCCTCTAAATTAACTTTTGAGACGACCCCTGTAATTTTTGCTGTTAGAGTCCAAGTCAACAGTCGGAATCGAGACTTTCCGTAAATCTCTATTTATAATACATTTTCTGTGTTTATATGTGTATTTGAACAGGTTGACCCAATTATAAAGTAACTTAAAGTAGTCTAAGGCTTTGCGCAACGCTGCTGATAAAAGATAAACTGTATACAAACAAGATAAAATAAAATCGTGCTGACTAATATTTAGTCTCAATTAATTTAAATACATCAACAATATTTAATCATAAATGCTGTGGTCATGCATTAAAACATTTTTGCATACAATAGTGTTACGGGAATGTATAGCATTACTGAATATCAAGCTAGCAGTATTTGGTAGAATTGGAGAAGACTAGTTTCGTTCAGCTAAAGTTTTAGATAATTGTGAACAAGCAAAGGATTGTATAAACCAATACTGGCCAACATAATTAAATGGTAAAACAATCATAATAGATACCACGATTAAAATTAAAAACTACACTTGTTTTGTCTTGTTATTGACGGAGATCTTAACATCTTACCTTCAATTGAATCAAAGTTTTTATCATCTTCTGTAGCTGCTATGTCTTCCGATATATTTGTAACAAGAAGATAGATAGCATGTGGATTTAAAAAAGTCTGATGTGTGGCATAATAGTCTTTCTGACCTGCAAAATCCCAGAAACCACATTCTACCAAACTCTCAGACGTCATTCTGTCTTGATCTTTCTTGACTTCAACAAGAATTGCATTCATTTCTTCGGTAATCGTTTTCCTTATATTGTCAGTTTCTACTGATTCTTCAGACTTTTGAACATCTTTAGACAGGACACTATTATCTTTGTTAGGTTTGTTAATATTTGATTTTTCTGCAACCAAAGTAACAGTGTCTCCTTTGTTTACGTTGTTTTCGCCTGTTAACGATTTATCAATTGATGCAGTCGGAATGTTATCCACATCATTTGTTTCATTCTTGTTAATTGCATTTGAACCTGATGACGCTATTCTTATTTTATCTTTAGTTTGGGGTTTATTTTCTTGTTTTCTTTCATCTTCAGACAACAATTCTTCAGATGAAAGTGCTTCTTTCCCCTTGATATCCACTTCATATGGAATTACTTCTTGAGAAACTAATTTGCTTTGTTTTTGCTCTTTATAAACAGCCTCTTGTATTCTTTTTATAATTTTCTTCCTCTCTGTTTCGGCTGTAATAAGTTTTTTGACATGTAACATGCTTATGGATAAATTGAAATATCTCTAACGTTTTTTAAGCAGACTGCGTAATGAAATATTAATAGATACGAAATAATCACGCCCCACTTCCCATATTAAAAACAAGCGTGTATGATTAATTTCACGCAAAGCCACCGAAATAACAAATAAGAAACATTGCACAAAAAACTCAAGAATACAACAGTCAAATTAATTGAAATTGCACTGAACCTGTGATAAAAATATCTTCAGTTATCATGTGTCATATAATCTGCTTTGTATCTTGTTATCGCAGTTTTTTAATTATCAAATTTCAACCCTTTCTTGACGACTGTAAAGGGCCAACAAAATAATTCTCACCAATATGTGAGAGGTATAATTCTTTCAAAACATTTTTGATTTTTGTTTTTTATAAAATACGTTTACGAAATGCACATGTTGGTTACAGAGAAAATGGTTTAAAACCTCGACGAAATAAATATGCCAGCTAAAACAAAAAGTTGCCTAACTTTGTACTTAAGTATATCGCGTTATTTAAACAAATAAATCATAGAAATATATCCGACACCGATATTGATTTTAAAATATTGATTGTATTATTAGTACTGCAACCAGAGTTCATTTTTTAAACTTTATTGTACTGGAAGAACACACACCTATAATGCATATCGATGGAAAGAGGAAAATAGTTAAGTCGTAATTACCCAGAGTGGTCACATTTTTGCGAAATTGAGTTCAAAGGTCAAACCTCAAATATATCACAACTTCAAACATGAAGAAAAAAGAAGGAATTTTCTGAGATGTATTTAGTAGAATGCTACAAAAACGATTTAATAACATGCACTTACTGCAAAAGATGGCAAAAAGTTTAGCTATTTGTATAAACAGCTGACATTACAAAATGGCGTCAATGATGAATCTTCTGATTTTTTTTTCAATTTACGACAAAGAAAATGTAGACATGACCTTGACCTTTTCACATCCATTACCTCTTACACTGCTGATAATTTCTTATCGCAGCTAATAACAGAATTATTTTCTAAATTGTAAAACAGCAGTTTCTCGATATGTTTCAGTTATTTTTCTTCATTAAAAAAAAAAAAAAAAAAAAATCAAACACTGAAACCGTGTTTTCCATTTTGCATACACATAATATCATTTTGGAAAATAATATGTGGTAATAGATTCAAAAATATCATGTACTAAAAGTCGAAAGATCAGTTATAACCCAAAAAAAAAAATTGTCAGCCGAGGCAAAAGCGAGGTTTAAAATAAATTCATAGGTGAAACTTGCTTTGTTGGTTCATTTTTAAACAAAAGTTTATGCTATGAACATTCTCTCTGTGGGATTATCCAGGTAAAAAAGTGTAATCTCATTATTATTTTTTAGCAAAGTGATTGATTATAAGGTTAATTTGCTAATGTTGTAATTTGACAATTTGCCAAGACCCTTATATAACTTGTCTTTGAAGGGCTACAATCATTAGCTCTGGTCTTCATGAAATAGGGGTAAACAGTTAATAATGCTATACCCTTAGAAATTATATACAAGAATCTTAGTAACACGTCAATCTCATCGTCCTTGTTTACGAATCATGTAAGCGTATTAGTCCGCTTCACCGCCTTGACGCGGACACAGTTCGGTGCAAGACAGATTTACAAGTTCAAAGTAAATCTTGCAAGTAATCTGAAGACATTGCAGGGAGAAATCTACGACCATATTTATTGCTGGTTATTGTCCCTGATTGAAGAAACTCATGATAGATACCCGGATTAACATTGTGTACGTTTGACGCGCGTTTTGTTTACAAAAGACTCACTAGTGATTCTCGAATAAAAAAAGGTTAAAAAGGCATAAGGCTTAACGAAGTTGAAGAACATTAATGACCCAACATTCTGATAGGTTTTCCCAAAGACGGCTAAGGTAATCTATGAGTTTTCCCAAATACAGCTAAGGTAATCTATGAAACCACAGTTCCTGGCTGTCAGTTTTTATTGCACACAAAGAATGGAACAAATGTATCTAGAGACTTTTTACCTATTCGACCCTTCTTGTTTTTCCTTCCAATCGCTCTGTCACCAAACATGACATGCATTATCATTCGGTATTTTCCTCTTCGTGTGTCCTGGCTTAATCCTGAAAGTGAGTAACCTATGATGAAGAGAATTTCTTCACGACAATCAGGTCAACAAAATTACCCTCTAAAACGAGTTTATGCTCATTCGAAGTCAATCAGAGGACTGTGCATGAAAACGCTCAAAAGAACTTTCCAGTCTGGTATGGATCGATCATCTATTACCGGAATTACATTTCGGCTAGAATTTACACTAGTTCTTTGGTCTCATTTGACCGATTTACTAGTAATAGAAAGTTTGATGTATCTATCAAAGACAGCAACAGCTGTACCAGCATTGGTTATGCATGATACCTGATATTAAATGAAATGTAGAGCCAAGTACCTGAAAGTGTTAAATGTCTAACATTTAACAATTGTGCTAAGGTCATTTCGTTCCTTATGAGTACGGTAGCGGATCGATCATACGGTGCCAACTGATGCTGAGATACAGCTTGTGCTTCTATTTTATGTATATATATACTTTGAATTTTTCGAAAAACTAAGGATTTTCTTATCCCAGGAATAGATTACCTTAGCCGTATTTGGCACAACTTTTTAGAATTTTGGGTCCTCAATGCTCTTCAACTTTGTACTTGTTTGGCTTTATAACTTTTTGATCCGAGCGTCTTATGAAGACAAAACGCGCGTCTGGCGTAATAAATGATACTCCTGGTACCTTTGATAATTATTATGATCGGCCTTTCATGTTTTAGCATGGTGCCGTCCTCGTGGAAAAGAGAGGAAGGAATAGATCCAATTGAGAGTGATAAAGCCTTCTCTATTGTAATGTCTTCACGACACCCAGCACTAACTAGGGCACGGAGGATTACTTCTCCTGGACTAATATGTACATTGAGTATCTGACCTGACCTGCACTTGATTTTAGACTTTTTCGTTAAGTCTTCGAAAGTTTTGATTTAGGTATTGTGCCATATGAGTCACGGTTGTCACCTTCTTCCATCGCACAACCAATTGACAATTAATATACCATCATCAACTGTTTTTTTCATTGAGGTTCCAATTTCTTTAGGCGCGTGTATTCCAGTTGAGATGTTTATCAGTGACTTGCGATGAGACTTTATATTAAAAGGAGTCGCTGGTCAGCCTGGTCTGTAATAAGTTTGACATGCTCGTCGTAAGGCAGTTGGTCTAGTTTCATCATGAGAAGATTTTTCTGGGACAGTTAATTCAGTTTTATTCTCATTTTTGCATTATACTCTGCAAGAATCCATGCTTCAAAAATATTTATCCCGGCCCCTCGCATGCATAATAATTGCTATTGTGACGAACATTGACACACAATGCATTTTTTCAACTAAACCTCATTCGATCTCCTTTTTGCAATAATAGGAGTACACTTTACAGGACTACCAAAACTGGCCATTATCCGGAAAAAAATCTTATCCAAAGGATTCGGTCAATTATTATGAAAAGTCAAAATTTAAGCAACAAAAAAGAACTAATTTACAGAAAAAGAACAACACATTGTGATCAAAGCACTCTTAAAAAACTCAAAAATATCTAATAATTAGCAGATTTTCTGTACAAAATCACATCAAAACTATCAAATTTATTGTTAAACAAAACGTCATAATAATTGAACTTGACCAATGTTACTATAAATAATGGATGTGAATGACGAATATAAAATTTCCATAGTTAAACAAAGGTATAAAAGATGTTTTAATTTCTTGATTTTTGACAAAACTATTTGCAGTTGCATGTAGTATCTCAATAATATATTCTTTCCACTCAAATACGACATAATGTTTTTGAATCATATGTTTTCTCGTTTTCCAAAAAAAAAAATGCGTTAAATTTCCAGCTAAAAACCTGCCAACTTTAAGTTTTAAAATTCTATTCGGGATTGGTTTATTATTGGAAAGACCTATTGATTTTGTTCTGATTAGTATTTTTTTTTTTCCGCCTAATTTTTTTTTTTGCGCAGTATTGTTATTTCACAAGATGTCGCTAAGATTTTTGAAATATGATATCGAACAGTTTATACGCTTTTAAAACTGACCCTGTTGAACCGAACACTTTTAATTGTGAGAGTTATCTCCCCAAAACTGTTTTTCTTGTGTCCGCTACTCCTTCGAAACCGTAAAAGATAACGAAAAATGTATTTTACTATGGGAAGGATGTTGAAAATCATTTTGACCGAGATATCCGGAGACTCCATATGAGAGTCATTCCCCCTTATGCATTTCTAACTGGTAAACCATTAGTGATAGAGACCCAGGGTCTTTTGATTTGAGGTCCTTGGTAAAAAAAAAAGAAAAATTAGGTCAAGGTCAAAGGTCAAGATCATACTCTAAATTTTGATTTGGCTTATTTTCACTTCTATTTAAAAACCGTATAAGATATCGACAACATATTTTTACTAAATTGTTAGTTGCGACATGTCGTAACACATACATTTTGGTTGAAAGGGTAGG